CTTTTATATATTCTTTATGCTTAGGATAAGCATATTGTTATTTTTTTACAGATCTTATTAGCTGATGATTCTCATTCATTATTAATTTATTATAGTGATGTCGGCATAATTCTTTTCCAACCAAATTTATATTAAGGTTTGTTTTTGAAATTTTGATATTATTCGTTATAAGAGCTGTGCTATTAATAAAATCATCACAAGTATTATCTTATAATAAGCATTTATTAGATTTAGACATTCCTATATATTGTATTATAAAGCATTTAATTACTTAATATACTATATGCAATATAAACAAAAACATAAAATTTAATGCATATACCTTTCAAATTATTACTAAATAATTTTATTAAAAGTTTACTGTAAAGCTAAAAAAATTAAAATTAATTACTATTTGCATTTTGCAAGAAGGTTTTATAGCATTATAATTGTTGAATTACATAGCTAAATTATTTTGTAAACCGTTTAAAATAAACATGAAAAATTGATATTTTTTTTTTGCTATTAAATTTTCTATTGCATAATTAAATTAAAATAGTACAAATATCACATGTTTATATTTTTACAAATCCAGCCAATAAAAATATATTATTATATATATTTGTATATAAACAATACGATATTAAAATTTTTAAACTATGACATCATTAATTTAATTAATTAATTAATTAATATTAATATTATTATTATTATAAAATAAAAAAACAATATATATGTTGATCATCATGTAATTATTTGAAAATCAGAAAGTCTGCTATCATGATAGCATAGTGAACTTTAATTTGATTAACTGATCTCAAAATGATCATTGTATATTAAATTTCATATTAAAAAAATGATCATCTAACTTTAAATGGATTTGCAACCATAGGGATGGATTCACAAGGATTATGATAAAATTTTTTTAAAGTTTACTTTTTATTCTATAAACTGTTAAAATAATTTGGTAAGCAGAGAGGTAATTCAGAACTTAGCTAATAAGAGTTTTATAGCAATTTTTTTATTAAAGTCATTTTATTATTAAAAAGAAGGAATACAAGCAAAATGTCTATTCATCACGAAATTACATCTATTCCTAATATGAATAAAAGAAAAAGGAAGGCTCAAAATTGTGATTTAAAGAGCTATGATAATGTTGTCTGTAATTATAAATAGCACAGTACATCTATTGTATCTGAGCAAATAGATATTTTAAGTTTAAGTCAACATTTGAATTTAGTTGACAAGGCTTTATACTGAAAACACTATAATAAATTAATAGAGAATGCAAGAAAAAAATTCAAAATTAATAAATATTTGCATTTAAAGTACATGTTTTATATATCTATAGTTCGAAATAGTATAGAAAGGAAGAAACTCAAGAAGGCTTCAGATTAATTAGATTCTTTGAGCTATCATAAGGGGCAATAATGTGTTATAATTACTTATATAAAACTGATAATAATCTGAATATGTTAATTCATCTAATTATCTGCTACCACCTAAGAGAATTTTGAGAGGGAATATAAAAAAATTTTCAGGAAAGGTCATATGTATTATGAAGTGACATTATTTATTCTGAATCTGAATTTCAGGAATTAGAGATTGCATATAATGAAGTATGTGCAGAGCTTAACGAAGTGAAACTAGATAGGTAATTAACTTTATTTGTAGTTGTATTATGAATTTTTTTTATGTATAATTGATATTTTTTTTAGGGTTGATTCTTCTTGATAAAAAAATTTAAATTAATGTCGGGAGTTTTGTATACAAGACAGCATGTACAGTCAACTCTTGTTATAACGAACTCTATATCTTAGACCTCAACTTCGCTATAAAGCTATAGTAAAGATTTTAAGAGATTTGATCGGCTAATTCACTATAATAAGAGTATTTTTATTATATTTGTTTAAAAAATTCGTTATATCAAGAGTTCGCTATATTAAGAGTTAACTGTATATCATGAAAAATCTATTCTCAATTCAGAAGAATTCAAAAGATGCTCGAGAAAACTGAACTATCATTGAGAGATTTTTTGATTAATTAGTAACTAGAACTAATCCACAAGCTAAGAGTTATATGACTAATGAAAAAAATAAGGCAAGATTAGTTTTATTTTGTTATTTTCTAACAGAATTTAATAATAAGTTTATTAATAGAGTTAAGGTGAAAGTTGGGTTTTTACTAGATACATCTGGAATATCTTCTTCAGCGATAGAGATCTTAACTGATGCAGGCTTAACAGTAAGACATAAAACTATTACAAGACAGAAAACTTGCCAAGCAGAAGCATCCATGGTGACATTAGGAAAGTTTTTATTGAAAAATGTGAGTATGCAAATATTTTCTTTAACTTTATTATTTGTAAATAACAAATTGGCATTTTAATTTATTTACAGATTGAAAACTTGATAGTTCTAAATGTGAATGATTTTCATAATATTTATGAATATCATCATAGTAATATAATAACTACATATAAAGTTTCTTACTTTATTATGATACTCTTAAAAGCTCTGCTAGAAACAGTATCTATTCTATTTTACAATCCTAATAAAGAAGGTAATGTGTATAATAAAAAAGATATTAATAAAAATATTATTTTACTAAATGCTCACGCATCTTTTTTCCCTTATTTATAGCTTAGTTATGAAGGATGAAAAAAAGTATTTTCTGATTTAGCACCTTTATCAGAGATAAATATTGAAAGAATTGAGTGCCTCTTAATCTATAGTTATGATGTTAGAATTAAACAATGTCAGACTGACTAAAGTATGAAAAATATAAAGCTAGTTAATTTAAAAGAAGGGCCTCTTCATTCAACTAATAATTATATAAAAGCCCTTAAACACATGATTATTATTTCCAAAATAAGAGACTATATAGTGATGAAGATATTAATTAGACTATTCCAGATAACTTTACATATAGTGTGCCATCAATTATTATATCAAATTCAGAGATTCTTCTGAAATACTAGAACAAATTTTGCATATTGTTCCAATGATTAGATCTTTACATATATCCTTAAATAGTCATGAAACTGTATTTCTTGAAAATTATAGATTTTTTGAGAAACTTTTTCACGAAGTATTTAGATGTCTAAAGATATTAACAAAAAAGCCAAAATCTTACAAAATTAATTTGATACTTGAATTTGTATTTCAGGGTTAGTCTCAAGTACATTTAATCATTTTACAGAAATTCAAATTGTCTAAAGATCCAGAAGTTCAGTATCTCATTAATTTACTAGATAATATCATCCTATTCATTTTAGATTTCTATTCTATTATATTTCATAATGAAAATTGGATGGCATATAAAGAGGCAATATTTTATATTTAGACTATTTTCTTTTAATATAAGCGTAGAAACTATAACAAACTTCTATTAGCATTTTTAAGTAATATTTTTTACTAGACTAGTACTAATCATCCTATTTCATGAGTTTTTGCAAATTGCTTTCATATTTTTAATGATTATTATGTAAAAAACTTCTATATCTCACTTCGGCGATAAATACAGAAATCAAATACAGTAAAACAGATTATTTGACAAGCGTGAGTAACTAATCAAATAAGTGATGATACCCCTTTTACAGATTTGTTTGCTAAGAATCATAATATTAGATATTTAGCAAAACAATTGGAATATCTTGAAAAATAGACTACAATTTTTCTATTAAATCTTTTTACAGATGTCTATCAGAATCTTAGTAATTTAAAGATTGTTCTATTTAATATATGTTCAAAATTAAAAATATATGAACTTTCAATGCTTGAAGTTCAAGTTGATATTAAAATTTTAACAATAGCTTGGAATACAGCATACCTTTCTAAAGAAGATAAATATTGTGATTTGAAAGGTTGTGTAGATTCATGTGAGGTAGGTTGTATTTTGATTTGTGAACATGCTTATCATTTTGAGTGTTTCTTATTTAAATTAGAAAGTAAGTGAAATTGAAAAAAATTGTAAAAATTATCAGAAAACTTTGACTTCATTTGACAAAATGATTATAAATGAGAGTAGAAATGAATCAGATAATACTGAAACTACTAATAATACTAATATTGATAGTGAAGATTTTTCTTTAGATAATAATATAGATCTATTTTTCAAAAATGCTATAAATACTTTAATAAATGCATAATTTGATAAAAATTTGCTATTTTATATATAAAATGTAGTCAAAAAAATAACATATTTAATATTTATATAAATGAAAATAAAAGAAACCAATTTTATAAAATTTTCTTTATTAAATATTTTTTTTATTTGACTAAATTATCATTTATTATACTCAAATATCTTTTAATTAACAATTTTTTAATTTGATCATGTGACTTTATCAACCAATAGAATTTTAGCAATAACAAAAATTAATCAATAAAAATTAGCCAATTACAATAAAAACCTGCTATACTAGATTAGATATAATATCACTTTACTTTGCTCACAATATATCTTATAGATCTAATGCTTATTCTTGCAAACATTTGCCTAAAGATTTCATATTCACAGCTACTATCTGATAACAAACAAAAAATTGTTTTAAATATTCAGAATAATGAAAACCTGTCATTTTTTTATCCTGTAACTTCTTTTCTTGTATTTATATCATTAATGATGCTAATTCTTAAAATGTTTTTTTTCTTTAAATAATCTGTCTTTTTCAAATTAAGCAATTTAAACTAAATTTCTGCATCATTATCACTATTATTAGCTGATACCTATAATAACTTAAGATTTATATTAAGTAGTAATTTACTTAAAGGATGTTCAAAATACTATTTTAGAATAAAGTGAATATTTTTTCCAGTTGCTTATTACTAAAAAAATAAATATAAATTAGATAAAAATTTTAAATCAAATAGTTAATTTAAATACATACTTTCTTTATTGCTTAATTTAAATGACTATTTTTTTTTTAATTTATCACATTCATCACAAATACCTGATTCTCTGATTGTAAAATTTTCACATGTTTTACTTCTAATGAAAAGAGTAGTTTTATCTAATATTCATATAGCATGTGTACATAAATAATTTTTAAGATCAGCATATCTCGTTTTACCAAGACTTTTTATTCTAAGATTTGCTTTAGCAATTTCTGAAAATAACTCTTTTGCAGCTATATTGGATCTAATTGATCCTTCAAATTCAGCTAGACTATTTATTAAGCACATATTCTCAATATTTATCTTTATATAATCCCTTACATGCAATTTTTTTGACAATTATATTTTCCTCTTCAACTCTAATTTTTTTAGGTTTAAAAAAAAATTTAATACTTTACTATCCTTCATTATTATACTTATAATTACTCAATTCACCATGTGTTGTAAGATTTTTATCTCTAAATTTTCAATCTAAACAGATTTCTTTACTACATTTACAATGGATTAATTCTGACGTTATTTCTTCTATAAAATATTTATTAGCATGTAATTTATTTCGTAATTTATCTATGTTATTTGTAATATGATTTTTTTATTATATTTTTTCTTTTTTTTTGTAAATTAATATTTATATAATCAATTATAACATTATTTTTAATATCTTCAATAATAACATTTTCTTCAACTATAATATTATCTTAATCTTTAATTATAATATCGTCTCTTTATTATCAGTCATAGTATTATTATCTTTTCTCATTTTTTTACTGATTATTTCTTCATTTTGTTTCATATTTATTTCATCTAGCTTTTTAACTAAATCATATTCTAGAAAATTAAAATCATTAGAGTCATATTCATCATCAGGTAAAAAATATTTTAAATTTGGAAAAGTAGAATTATTTTTGGAACTTTTAACTTGCATTTTTTTAAAATAAAATCAAAAAAAATTTTTTTTGATTATTTTAACGTTCATGTGGTATATATAAAATAACCTCTTAAAATATATATATAATTATTATCTACTATAGTAATAACCTAAGAATAAATTATAAGATCATTACTCATTTTATATAATAATGATTTGGCCTTTACTTAATTTAATAAAAAACCTAAATCACGCTTATAATAATATTACCTAACTTAAGCAATAACAATTTTGTATTTTTTATAATAACTTTATCCAGTTTACTGGTAATCTTAATATGAAGTTTCTGGGGTCCTGAATAAAAGTAATTCACGAATTCTTCTGACTAAAATATCCTATACAGAAGTATTTACATCTGGTCAGGATTCTCTAAAACATTTAATTAGTATATATAATATGATCCATTCTAGTGAGAAATTTTATTTATATTATGTTTAAGTAATAAAATCACATTATTCTATAAAAATAAAATCATATGACACTATGATGCACTTTTTGTCAGAAAAAAATTTTATTAATATGTAATATGCTAAAAATAAATCTTTCTCAATCAGAAGGTACAGTATATGTAAATTAATCCTATAATCTACTGTATTCTATTTCAAAAGTTGTTGATGAATCTTAATAAGATTTATTATCACTGATTTTCTTTCATCTAGTTCAGTAAGATTTAGACTGGTTTTTTTACCATTTTTCTTTGGCCATCTTTTAATCATAATTGACTGCATTTTTAGTAGTTATTTACTAAATTCCTCTTAGTATAATATGAGAATTTTAGCTTGATAAAATATAACATAGGTAGAAATGACATAGAAGACAAAAAGTTCTTGATCAACATAATTATTAATCATATTTTCATATCCATAAGCAAGTATTTCAGCAGTGATTTGTCATTTTTCAAAACCAGTTGTAGGGTAGATTTTTTTATTTTTCAAGTATTTATCCTATTTAAAAGTTGTCTGTAAATTATAATAATTTAAATTTATCAAGCAACAAAATATAAATAATACATCTACACCTATCAAAACAATTTTTTTCTTATTAACTACAAATTTGAATTCTGCTGATACAGACTTATTATTTGTGATTAGTTTGAGGGGTGGTTCAATTCTGGGATTTAAAACAAGAAAATTTAAAAATATTGAAGGCATCACACAAATAATATGGTTAGATTACCCATCTAACTTTAAAAGGCCAAGCATCCAAGTTGACTACATAAAGTAGCAGATCATTTACTAGTATATTAGTTATAGATTTGCTTATACTTATATCAAGATCTAAATTCTTAACAATATCATACAGTTTATCGACAAATGTTCTGACATGATCATTCTCAACTTTAAGACTTTTAACATTGAATCTTTTAGAAGCAAGCAAATTGTAATTGACCTTGAAAAGAACGTAGTATTCTGGAATAATGACTAGATAATATTTAAGTTATTTGTTATACTAGAAGATTGTTAATATAATGTAATAATATTATTTGTACCTTTAGCATTAGGTATAACATCATACTTGTCAGCTAGCTTAAAACTTACTCACAATGCATTAAGATGTCATCATTTAAATACAGATGCATAAAGAAAAGAGAATCTGCTTAATTAATCACTAGGAAGGAGATCATATATAGGCATATTTTGTCTAGACCTTTTTGTAAGGTTAATGAAAAGATTTTTAGCTAGAGAGTATGTAAGGCAACGTGAAAAAATCTTACAATTAGGCTAGACATTTTAGAAAGGGAAAAAATTGCAAACACATATTGCGGTAGATAGGAAATCTTAATCTGGTAGATAAGTCACGTATTTACGTAATTTTAATGGTATATTAATACAATAAAAAAATAATTTTGCAATATTTATCTGCAATCATAAGGTATTTATTATAGGAGAATAAATATTTAGATATTAGACAAACAAACTTCTTAATATTTTGTATCCTTTTAGGAACAATAATTTTTGAGTTTTCATTATACCATATTTTAAGAAAGGACATCATTTTTGTCAATCATGATTAATAATATCTTTGATAATTAATTTTGTATGAATATTCCTAAACCTTCTATTCTTTAGGACCTATTTTTTTCAATTGCTTTAACTGTATAGTTACACTAATTATTAATGATTGCAATAATTACTTTTATAGCTGATTTAAGATTTGGTTTTTCTTTTATACAAAACTTAAAGTCAAAGAGTAATAAAGACTGATTCTGAATTTCTATAAACCTTTACATGATTACATAAATATTTCTGATACTATATTATCAGAAAAGATACGCTTATTATTAATACTAGTAAATCCAATATCTTAAAAAGTTCTTATATAATTTTTCAATAATTAGCTGAATAAGTTTTATGTAAGTCTTCTGCTATTGATTCTTTTTAGCTTTATAATAAGTATTTTCCTATTGTATAAAGTCTAGTAACCCAATAAAAAATTTGATATAAAAATTCCATAAAAATATTAAGTTTTATAACGTATAACTTTTATGAAAAATCAGT